TTATGTTAATCTGTTAACATGTCAACGAGCTCTAAAAACCACATGAGCTGCCTGACTGCGTGCTGGAGGATGGCTGCACTTCAAGTTAATAAAGCAAACACCTGTCGCACCTTTCGAGCCGCTGGCTACGGGATTGGGATTCCATACCATCCATTTGTTGCTCATACGCATCGTTGAACCCGCCAAAGTGGGCAACAACTCGAAACGCGTAAATTGCTGCAAAGTTTTTGACAATCATGGGCCAAGCGTGAATCATGATGATGATGCCCATGCTGACGACGATGATGATGATGATGATGATGATGTGGACGAGCGTATCTGTCAGCTCGTCTAAGGCGTCATCAATTTGGTTGCCAAGCAGCAGCCAACTCCCTACAAGCCTGGCGCCCGCCACACGCTCCGGCACAACGCTCACTCCTTTTTATACCCTGTACGTCAAGGCACTTGGCTTAAGAGGGGTATGCTGTTTTTGTGCCTTGGTATGTAACAGACAGGAGAACGCATCTCCAGGCCCATAAAGTATATATATATATAGTTTTGATCAGAAAAAGGCGAGCTGAATCGATCTAGCCATGCCCATCTGTCTGTCTCTCTCTCTCTCTCTCTCTCTCCCCCTCACTCCCTTTGTCTTTCAGTCTGTGTATCTATCAACGATCTCGAGCTCTACATAACCTACAGACTACAAATATATGTATTTTCCTATAAAATTTGTTTCTTCATTCAATTACTTTTCTTCGATAACTTCTCATATTTTCCTAATATCGATAAATATCGATTTTGAGATATGGTACAATAAATAGATATGCCAAAGTTTGTAGCAAGCTTGCAGAATGTTTCGCACAATAAATTTTATATTAATGTTATATTATATATATTCGAATTACTCTTAGCTTTTCTTTTTTCTATTCTTATGTATAAAATATTAAGGTTGACACTCTTTTTCAGAAGCTTTACAGATTTTGTATGTTTTGTATGCCTGCTTCGTGTGCAGGGCATCTCCTAGTCGCACACATTCATCTAAAGCTTTCTTAGTGGTTTTTTTTTTTGGCTCATTGCATGTGAACCACAAAACACTTTGAAGCAAAAAGTTTTCTGCGGCTGTCGCATACATAAATATATATAAATATATACGTATATGTATTTATTTATTTATATATGTGTGTATGTGGGTGGATGTGTGTGTCAGTCTTACAGTGGTTTAAAATATATTCAATAAATGATGTGGCCTAAAATATATGGGATTGCAATCTTGCAAAAAAAAAAACAAAACAAACACAGAAATGTTTGGAATGTTAGAAACTGCTTTGAAATAATGAAAAAAAAAAGTTTGGAGTCTTAAAAATTGCTTGGGCAATAATAATAATAATAACTATATTAACTTACTCAGAGAGTTAAGAAATTATTCAAGCATTTTGAACATATAAAAGGAGAAAAGTTCGATCAGTTTTAATATTCGATTCGATATAGACAAGTCTATCTAGACTAGCATATAGTTAAAAATGATTTTGATATCAAATTTGTCATTAGGGAAAATCTTTAAAGCCATTTGTAGGCAAGGGTATTTCAACAGCACGTCGTATTTAGAGCTTGCATCTATATTTCACTCAATCAACTCAAATATTTATCGATATATGTTATCTATCCTGAACAATATATCGAACTTTAACTGTGGCTCTATAAGCATGTGTCAAGTGTTCTCAATTTCATCTAGTTTCGAGACACTGTGCAATCATTGTCGTTGATGAGCCATCGTGCACTTTAAGCAAATTAGTTACGCAGCTCATGTTTGCCGGTCCTGTTTGCTGTTCCTGCCAAGCCCCGTCTCCTGCCCCCCCCCCCCCCCCCCTGCCTTGCCCTGCCCTACCCCGACCACAAATAAAGCTTCTGTGTGTTGGCAAACAAATTTAATAAATAGCTAAAGACACAAAAGTCACAACCCTTTGTAATGGCAAACTTCCATGCAGCAGCCCCACCCGCTTACCCCCCACTCAGTGCGCCGGGGGGTGTTGAGTGGGTTGCTCTACGGTTGGTTCTGCTCGGTTGGGCGTCTGTCAACAGCCGAAAGGCAGCGACGCATTTGAAACTGAAGAAGCCATCGTCATCCTGGCCATGTCCATATTCATATTTACTTAAGTTTATGGCTCGTTGTATTTGTTCTTGTCAGGGATCTTGTTGTAAATTGTTATTGGTTGTTTTTGTTGTTGTTGTTGTTGCTGTTGTTGTTGTTGTTGTTGTGTGTCCGCATTTGCTTTTGCGGCCAGCCACATAAAATATATAACACTTCATTTTAACATATTTGCTGGGGCCCCGCCCCTCATTTGTTGTCCGTTGTTTTGCTGTTGGCCAAATGTCTTGGGCCAAATTCATGTGACGCCTACGACGATTACGAAATAACAACAAGAACAACAGCAGCTTCCACTAACTGCGATGAGGGTTTCGAGTTCGAACGAGCAAGAGCGGAAGAGGGAAGACGGGCGGCAGGGGGGGCGGGGTGAAATTCTGGGATTTCGGTGGCCGTTTTGTAGTTTGGCAAGAGCAACGTCTGCCGCTGACTGGCCCCATAATTTATATGCTAAACATATTGCGCTTATATGGATTACAAAAATATTTCTGTGTTTAGTTTTTGACGCGGCGCGAGGACGAGAAGAAGGGTGCGCCAGGCCTTGGCTAAAGCAGGCACAGATTTTACTTTTGGCCCAATCCACTCGACAGAGAACTACAGAATTAGTTGGCTGTCAAATGCAGTTGCCTTTGACCTTTCAAAACGAAATTGAGTTTCAATTGAGACAAGTTACGTAAAGGTTGCTGACTTTTGAAAATTTTTAATTACATTTTCATAGACACATTGAAAAGCTGAGCTAAAATGGAAACCCAACTTCTTTAATGCGTTTAAGCAAAATTAAATAAAATACGAATAGTATATTCAATTTGGGTTTAAATCGCAACAAGTTAAAAGACATATGCATGCACACAATCTGATAATTTATAACTGTTAGAATATATATAATAAATTAAAGTACAGGCAATATTATATCTTACACATTTACTATAAGATGGCAGCCCATTTTATGGACATAAGCTTAGTTAAATGCTCTACTTCTAATTCCTTCGATTTCCCATTCTATTAAACACATTCTCGAATAACTGCGATCTGTTCAGTACGATTTTTTTTTGCATCTGCAGCGCATAAATATAACATAAACATTTTGATTCCGACTCTGTATAAGACCCTACAGACATAAATGGGCATATTCATCCGAGTTATGATCAATAAACAGAATGTGCAAATCGATAAAAAGATATCGTAAAAACAAATTGTGCGAATCGATAACTATTGATACTTATCGATATCTCATAATACAGACCATATTAAGCATATGTAGCTCTTGCAAGCGTCAAGGTAAGATAAAAAACAAACAGAATGTGCAAATCGATAAATATCGATACTCTTTGAGTATCCGAACAAGAGCGTAAGCTATCGATGATTTGCAATAAACTTGATCGGCACGGACAGTAGGAAGTCTCTGGCGCTTAAAGTATCCAAGATCAACGCGTTTAAGCAGACGAACTGGCAGACAAAAATGGTCTCAAATTTTTAAGTAAGTTAACTAAACGCTATTTAAGGCCACAATTTTTTTTCTAAGCTTAAGGCCAAGCATGCGCAGATTTTAGTTTGTATATTAAATGTGTAGTTAGGGGCATCAACTTATAATACAAACAGCTTTACGCTCATTATTTCAAGTCTTTGAGGCACATTTGACATAGCGAAAAAAAAACACAAAGAACTCAAAAGTTAGTACAAGGTAGAACTTCAATTGTCATTATACTCGAACATAGGCAATGTTGGCTAAACATTTAAGTAAATGCGTGTAATTCTTGTAATTATATGCGAAATTCTCCATTGTCTCAAACTCGATTGTTTTATTTTTGATGTATACCCTATACCGATTAAAATTGGTTTAAAAAGACTGGGTATAACGCATCAGTAATCGCAGAAAATCTATTATTAATGATATGGTATATAGCTATATTATTTATAAGTAAAAGCTAGTCGAGCCGTTCATGAAAGTTACGGATGATTTATTCTGTTATCGATATCGATAAATATCGTAAATATCCGAGCGTGCATTGTACTTTATATTCTGTTATCGATATCGACTTTATATTAGATAGCACAAATATCGTTTTTAGAATTTCAAACGTCTAAGATTATAGACATATGAGCTTTATGTTGTTGGGCATAAACATATATACGGGCATCTCAGATACCTATCATGATCTACGTCTCATAATTAAGAAATACATACGAATTACAACACTTTTTTATATATATGCACCTATATGAATGTCATCGTCATACGCTCAATGTTAAAGAACGATCGCGAGCGGAATTCTGAAGTAATTTTGTTCAAAATATGAAGCAGCTGGCGGAGTCACTGTGACCTTACAGGGTGCTTACAGGGTATCTGCTAGTGCTAACCTATGCATGTTTGTTTGTTTATTTTATGCACTGTTCGCACAAACGGCAATTTCAGACTGACTGACTGACTGACTGACTGCCTAGGTAGTAGGCACCTCGTAGGCATTCATGCATTTGCCATTCGCATGAAGCGCTCAACGATGCATGAACCATTCTGCAGACGAACTGTGACTCTGTGACTGCGACTGTGACTGTGACTGTGACTGTGGCACACACACACACACACACACACACATACACACACACACGCTCCTGAGTCATGGCTGGCACACCCACGGCGCAACACCTTCCTGGGTCTATGCACGGGCCAAGGCCAATGCTCATCCGCATCGGCAATTGGTCAGCCGCGTTCCAAGTATTTGCCTGGCCCCAACAATTGCCCCAATGTCAATTTAGCGTGACGAGGCCATTAGCTGTGGCCAAGGATTACCGAGCACGGCAGCAGGCCTTCCAAATGGCATTGGCCACTTCCTTATGGCTTAAAGTCTAGGGCAGAACTTTTGCATGCCTCGTCACTTACCTATGATGCACATTGTGTAGCTGGATCTGGCGTGTTGTTGTTAGTCGACGCTGCGCCGTTAGCCCACTGACTGCGCTGCTGCTGCTGCTGTTGTTGTTGTTGTTGTTGTTGTTGTTGCTGTGGTTGCTGTTGTTGCTGTTGTTGCGGCACCAGAGCGGCAGCTTCTGCAGCTTCTTCACGTCCGGCGAGAGGCCAATGATGCGCGTGGCAGCGGCACTGGCACTCACTGGTGACGTCATGTTGGCCAAATCGCTGGCATCCGTATCCGCATCGGCCTCAAGCTGCTGCTGCTGTTGCTGCTGTTGCTGCTGCTGCTCGCTGCGCAGTCGCCGCGTTGAACGACGCTGCGGCGGCGGCGGCGTTGTTTTTGGGGCCAAGCGGCGACGCTGCAAGCCATTCGCTTGATGTTGTTGCTGTTGTTGTAGCTGCTGCTGCGTTGTTGTTGTCGTTGCTGATGTTGCTGTTGCTGTTGTTTTTGTTGTTGTTGTTGTTGTTGTTGTTAGTCGACCCGTTTTCACAGGCCTCAATTTGATATCACTTAACCATTGTGGGCGTGGCACCTGTATGTTGTTATTGCTGCTATTGTACTTATTGTTGTTGTAGCTGTAGCTGTAGCTGTTGTTGTTGTTGTTGTTGTTGTTGTTGTTGTTAAAGTTATTTGTGTTGTTGTGGTTAATGTTGTTGTTGCCATTGTTGTTACTAATGTTTTGCCAATGCTGTAGCTGCAATTGCCTTGAATGTTGCAGTTGTTGTTCCTGCTGATGATGTTGATATTGTTGTTGCTGCTGTTGGTTAATAGTTGCTGCTGCTGTCATTGCTGTTGCTGTTGCTGCTGTTGCTGTTGCTGTTGCCGCTGTTGTTGTTGTCGTACCATGATTGGGCGCTGAACGCAAATCATTCAGCATCACATCCAAATCGCTGGCCAGCGAGCTGAGCAGCTGCAAAGATCAAACAATATGAAATAATATAGAGCCACAAAATCTGCGAATCTCACACAACATCAAGATGAGTAGAATTTGGGGAGAATAAAATTAAAGAAATAAAGACAAAAAAAAAAAGACAAAAAACAGCGCAGATACAACTGACGATCCCCATCTTCCATTCAGACATCTCAACTGAGTTTTTATGCATCTATTTGTGTATGGGTTTGAACCGGCAACTTCGCCCAACTAAGCTTTGATTCTCATTTTCCACCTACGATTTTGCGAAAGATGTGAAATAACTTTAAAATTAATTTCCAAAATAATACAAATGTATGAAAATACAGCTACTTAAGTATGAGTTTGAACCATCAACTTCGCCTAGCTTTAGAAGAGAATAACAAAAAATAAGTCTAGAAATTCCGCCCATAAAACTTTTGATCCCCATTGTCCAATCAAACGTCGCCAATGAATGTTTTGCATCTATATGTGTATGGGATTGAACCAGCAACTTCACCCAACTAAGGTTTTATTCTTATTTTCCACCAAATTAAATTTCAGCTTTCTTCTTGGTGCGAGCTAACCAAATTAATCAATCAGTCAACAACAAAAATTCTATGTAGAAAGACAACTGAAATCAAATGAAGGTAATTATAGAAGATTCTACAGATTGACTTGCTAAACATTCGTTATGATCCAGTGTTTAAGCAATTCTTATTTATTGCATCTAATAACTCTGATGCATAGAGTATATATAATACCATTTTTCTGTAGAAGCGATCCACTTGGCTTAGCTTTTTTTGCGAAATATTTACAAATATTTGATTGAGCTAAACAAAACAAAAAACAACAAAGAAGTAAAAGAAAAGCAATTCGCTGGAAAATTGCAATAGCTATCAGAATCGATGGGTAATCAAGTTCTATGCAAATCTGTCAGGTTTGTGGGTTAATGAACGGATGTCTCAACCAGCCATCGACTTGACACAGACAATCAAGTGCTGACGCCTCGACGGGCCGGGGCTGGCCATGAGAAACGTTGTGGCTGCCGTTGATTTTCTTTCAGTTTTTATGGCTTTTTCTCATATTTCATGTGCTATGTGCTGTGTTGTTGTATGTGTGTGTGTGTGTGTGTGTGTGTGTGTTTTTTTTTTTGTTTCTTTCTTGCCAAATCATGCCCCAGAGTCTAGGCAGTTTGGAGTCGGCCTCCGCGAGGAATTTCCGTTACACAAACAAAGCGGCCAAAAGGCCTGCAACTGGCGGCATTTGGAGCCGCTGCTGGACCTGGCCCGAACTGGTCTTGACTTCCGGCCATCGCTGGCATCGAGTGTGGAGAGGCCTTGACGGGGCGGACCAGGCTGACCAAGCTGACCAGGCTGACGAGACTGACGAGACTGACGAGGCTGACGATAAGGCAACGCCTCAAATAATTACGCGCCACTGTCTCGGCAAATGCGGCTAATAATAACGGGTTTATGTGTAGGCCGTGGCTGGGGTCGGGCTGCCCAAAAACCAAACAACAAAACGCATGCAACGTGCAACGTGCAACGTGCAACGCTTAATGCCAAAGAAAAAAACAACAAAAACAACAACAAAAAAACAAAAATGTATTCGACAGCGAACCGGCTCCCACGCTCTGTGCTAATTTGAGCTCCACTTCTGTTTTTTTTTTTTCGTTCGTTTCTTTTCTATTTTTTTTCGTTTCCAGTTGCCGTCTTTTTTTCGACTCTGCGCATTTATTTTAGTTTTTATTTATTTATTTTTTATTATTTGTTGTGTTTTTTTAATTTTTTAATTTTCTTTTTTTTTTGTCTTTTTGTTTTGCTTCACTTTGTTGTTGCTGTTGGTATTTATAAATATTTCTACAGTTTTTGGCCGAAACTTCGCGAGCTCTATGCAAATTTAATGCGCCAAAAACTGAAGCGAGCAAATGAATCGCATTTAGCAGGCACTGCAGTGCGCTACAAGCTGAACTTTTAGGTATCAGCATTAAATAAATTGAATATGAAATCAAAACAAATATATTATTGTTGATTTTCGATTTCCTTGGCTCACGTAAGGGTAGAATTTATGTAAAACAGCAGTCCCAAGGGTAAGAGGGAAAGAGATGGTCAAAGATTGGACAGGCGAAGTTACTGGTTCAAACTCACATGCAAGCAGCTGTCTGAAAATTCCTTGGAGATGTTTGTATGGAAAAAGTGGTCTGGTCTTATATTTTTAAGCGAAGTTACTGGTTCAAACTCATATACAAGTAGCTGTATGGAAATTAATTTGAGAAGTCTGCATGGAAAATGGGATTTAGTCTTATTTTATATTTATTTCTTTTTTGGCTGGAGATGGCAAAGCAGGACGAAGTTACTGGTTCAAACTCTTATACAAGAAACTCTATGAATATTCATTTGAAATATCTGAATGGAAAATATTCTTTAGGCTGAAGAAAAGTTGAATTTACGTAAACCCTATGTAATTGGCGCAGAGTCCAAGGAGTAACAGCTATGACGCTTAACTTTTTACCGGGTCAGAAGTGAACACTACGTCTGCGCGTTGAACTAACAAGCGAGAGGTCGCTGGCTCAAATCTAGTCGCTGAAGCGGAAGTGTGGACTAAAGCGAATGCATAGATGCGTGTTGAACGGCTTTGTGTGTGCCAGACAACGCCGGGTACTTACTACTAGTCCATAATACACAGATGACACAAAATAATAGCAAAAATTTGTTCTCTTAAAAATTTCATGTATATTTCTTAAGCATTTTTCACCGCCCAAACATGCCACATAAATATTAGCTTCATAGTTCGCTATTGCGCATGCTAACCAAACAATGCGTGTCACCAGTTTGCACAGGTTTTAAGCGAACCATTTAAATGGCACACGTGTTGCAAGCTGCACCAGAACACGCATACGCCTCATTGCACATTGCTTAATGTGCAGCGTGCAGTGTCGTTTTATGTGTAATATGTAAATTCAAAAGGAGAAAAAGGCCTTAAACACATGGCTTAGCGTATAATGTGCAACACACACTCAAGCACTTAAGCACACACACACACACACACACACACACTCGGTATGTAGACAGGCCAGCCAATTGAGCAATTGCCACAGCAAACAAATTCAAATTGAAAATGTGGGCAAAGCAGCGCAAAAAAAAAAACGAGAGAAAAAATGAGTAAAAAGAGCGAGAGAAAAAAAATGTATAAACGACAATCACCGAGTTTCTTGTTTGAAGTACAAACAAAACTTCAATTGGCTGCGACTGCAATTTCAATTTAGGAATCATAAAATTTGAAAACAAGAAAACCGGGCTAGCTGCGGCACGCCGAATATTAGATGCCCTTGCAGAACTAAGGCACAGAAGTGGCGCAATACACAGCCCGATTTGCTACGGTTCGGCAGATATGGGAATAAGGATAAGGATAAGGGAATATGTCTAGACAATTTAAAAAAAAAATCCATTTAAAAATTAGTTATGCTTTGCTCCAAAAATGTTTATCTCCAAATCTTAGAAAATCGCCATGAAATGCAAAATTTACATAAATTCAGTCAAGTTTTCCAAAAATTTATGTTTTAGCGCCATTTTTTTTTTTTTTTTAATTCAATCTCTGTGAGATTTGAGATAATTTATATTTTATGTTAATTTTCTTAAATTTGGAGAACTTTTTTTTGGAAGCATGGGAAACAGTGCATCTCTTAAATGCTTAGTTTGTTGATGCGGATCAAGAATATATATGCTTAATGTGATCGGAGATGTCTTCTTAAATGCGTTACACGTTTCATGACAAAACTCTCAAATTGATATTAATTTTGTAAAATTTGGGGAATCTTTTTTGTTTTTGTACGGATTGGCAAATATGTTGGCAGAATGTAGGGCCATAAATAATATTCAAAACTTTAACTCTCAGGTAAACTACACTGATTTCTTATAAAGTAGTCCGATTTCTTGCGGATTCATTCAGATTGTTGGGAAAATATTGAAATATATGTATATAGGCTATGGAAAGACCGACATTATCTATAGATATTTGAAGCCTATATATGATATAGTGAACCGATATTGGGATTTAGGGATAAATGGTCTGCCACTAAGCGTTGCAAATTTGATGACAAGCTTATGATGCCCTCCAGAAGGGTATACAAATGAAAATGAAAATTTGTTCGTGTATTTATTATAAAATTAAATTAAACGAGCTTGGGGACTTATTGCAAACGACACTGGATACGGGACAACTGGACGGTGGACAGTGGACAGTGGACAGTTGATAGTGAACATTGGACACTTACCGCAATGGCATCCATCACAGCATTAACCATGTTTGTTGTTGTTGTTGTTTCTGTTGCTGTTGTTGCTGTTGTTGTTGTTGTTGTTGTTTCGTTTATGTTGCGCTTCTTATGATTTATTTGACAGTCATGCAAACATTTTGCACAATTTCAATTCGTTGCCGTCGTCTTTTATTTCAGCCTCCGCATATGCTGCTGTTTCCTCTTCCTCTTCAGCTTCAGCTTCAGGTTCAGCTTCTGCCTCCGCTTCGGTTTCAGTTTCGGTTTCGGTCTGAGCTCCGCGTCCTTTCGCGTCCCGCGCGCTTCTCAGCTTGAAAACTGTTGACATTTAATTAACGTGCTCGATTTGCCTATGCGGCAGGTGGGCAGCACACACACACACGCACACACAATCGCGCACACACACTCACGCATACATGATTGAAAAGTGCT